CTCCTCAAAAACCTCGGTCGCAACTTCAGGAAGTTCCACATCATCCCCACAACCCCCCCAAAAAAGCAAACCATGGCCTTGCGGGCTTAGGGTTCAGTTTGGGGTTTAGGGTCTAGGGCCTCTAAACCCTCAACCCTAAAGTCTAGACTCTAAAGCCTGAAACCTGGGGTTTCCGAAGATTTAGGGGTACCATTTTTAGGGGAACTGTCCCCTAGACCCAAAGCCCCTGAAACCCTTGGATATCAGATACCTATAGTAATTTCGTAGTATAGAAATATACGGCGACGTAATAATATGGCACTATAATACTGTAACAATATAGTAAAAAGTCGTATAGTACTACAGTAATATACTCATAGAATAGAAAACATGCTATAGTAATAGGGAAACCCCTGAAACGCCCCAAACCAGGCCTGCCGTGGCAGCTGGAGCATGGCCCATCGCGGCTCATCCTCCCGGTCTAGGCGCGCCTATCAAGGCCGAACATGAAAGAAATTGAGCTAAAGGTTTAGGGTTAGTAGGGAAGAAAGGAGAATGATATATAGGGATTACATACGGATTCTATTCCCTTATTCCCTATTAAGCGCCAGCGAGATGATGGAAGGAATGGAAAACACAAGGGACACTCGTATACAATTGAGGGTTTAGGGTTATTGTTTAGGGCTGAATGACTAGGATGTCTTACTGGGCTTAGTAGGGAACGCGCGAAGAGAATCCCTATGCAATCCAAGAAAAATATTCCCACACTCCCTACCAAACCCACTAAAATAGGATCTAAGGAACGGAAGAGAAACTGGAAGCTGTTGTAGTGTACTATTGGGGATTATCTTGGGACAACTTTAGGGATCCATTCCTCCATTCTTTACTGAGAACCAGCAAGATAGAGGTGGGGGATCCCTTTTTAAGGCTTGAGGTTTAGAGTCGGAGTCGGAGTCGCGGATTAGTAGGAAATTCGTGAATGAGACATATCTTATGGACCCTGGGGATATGTAGGAAGTACAAGAGGATTACGGGCCGATGGGGATTCAGTTGAGAGAATCTCATATTATAGGGATAGGGACCGACTATATGCGCTATAATCTAAACTCCTAGTATCCCCCTTAATACCTTAATACCCGCTATAGTAGTCCCCTATATAACCCCTTATAAAACCCCACTTTAAGGAGTTTTGACGATAGCTCATATGGGAGCTTAAAACGATTACTGGAGGGGTCCATTCCCTCCGCCAATCCTTCCCCGCCGCAAAACCCAGCTCTCCCTGCAGTTACAACGGATACGGTAAGGAATAGACTGTAGATATTAGGTGGACCCCCACCCAGTAATAGGGACTGTAATGGATATTGGTGAATTTAGTGGGTCCTCTTATATTCCTATTATACCACTATTCCAGGGTCATCCTAATGTAGATAACGTGTCATTGGGACTATAGTCTGCAATAACAACAACTACCCAAGCAGCGTCCAAAATCAAACCTCGAAACTCACTGCTTTCACTTTAAGGACCTCGAGACTCCTGCAAATGCATTGATGAATCTTCGCGCTAGTCGGCTTCGACAAGTTCAGGGACAGCAAAGCCAATAGCCTTTGTTCAGGCACTGTGGTGGGGACAATCCATCAACTCTTGTTATTTCTACTGCGTCAGAGACCGCTGCTGCTACCTGTTGGTAAAGCCTATGCTCTTATCATTCGACCTGGACGTCAGTTGCTGTACGCCACACAAGGCAGCACTGCCTGCTGTTGTTCTGCGAACACAACATTGCGCTCCGTGCCTTTCGTGCTCCTTCAGACGTGCCAAGGTACTCGAAGTCCAAGGTGCAGTCCTCGCAAGGTCTCAGTGAGTAGTGATATGCTCTGAAAACTGCACTCTTCTGTTGCTTGCCTCGGTGGTATGCAAAAGAGACCCTCATCTTGAGAACTAACCGAAATTCCCAGAAAGCCTCGGAAATCTTCTCAAAGTCTGGTACGCGGCGCCCAAGCAACCTGGCTAAGCACAGACTTGCTGCCACTCAGATTAGAAAAGTTTCCTGGCTCTACCACGGAACCAGCTAGCGTGGGGCCTTTGCGCTCTCGAACTGGATGTCAGAAATTCAAAGTGCATGAGCACCGGTTGCTCCCCTTATGCCGGTCTTTAAGTCACCCTTCTCCAACTCGCCGTTCTGCCCTGTGTCATTTCAAACAAATGTACATCGTGTAGCAGCAGAATCACTCGTAGGCTGGTCTTGCTGCTGCGGTGCTCCGGCTATCATTGGTCAGTCTTCTGGGCCTCATAGCATTGGACCCATGGACAGCCTAAAGCCCAGTTCTGTCGCCCCCAGCTCGGAACAATGAACATAAACCCCTAGAACCTAAACCTTGTGACAACAAGCGGTACCACCACCACCACCACCACCACCGCCGCCGCCGCCGCTGCTGCTGACGACGACGACGGTGGTCATGGCCACCGCCACGGCCACAACCACCATCAACACCACCACCATAACTAATGCTTCTACCACTCCTCCTCCTGCTGCCCCTGCTACTACTCGGCCTCCTCACGGGAACAACTACAACCAAACAGAGCCGCCTGAGCTCAAAGGCATCCACGTCCTGGCTGCAGACTCCACTCAAAAACAAGAGTCTAGGGCCCAGAGCTTGGAAGTAGGATCCCAAGGGATTTGAGTATGGGGTGTGGGATTCAGGGCTTAGGAGTTGAAGGTTTTGCGCTCAGGGCGTTTTGGCCTTAAGTTTGGGATCTGGAGTCTATGGCTTAGGCATTGAGGCGCCGGATTCGTGATCTAGAATACGGGGTTCCGGGTTGGTTGCCGGTCTCTGCTCTCATACTGCAGGTTGAGTGAGGCCATCACAAACGTTCAGTAAGAGACTAGTACTATTGCTATAAACCAGTCCTGTTCAATGTAGAAGATGCAAAGAGAAAATCATTCTGTAGAAGAACTGCAAGTTTCTAGCTTTCTGCAAAAGAACTGACCATGCCTTGATAATAAACCGTGACAAAAGTCTGCGAGTCTTACTTGGTAATACTTGGTAATACTTGATAAATAGTAATAAAAAATCAAACATTTGAGTATTCTTTCATTTATGTGAGTTACAACTAATATTACTGTTAATATTAATGTTTTTACTGTTTATATTATATGATTGGTCATTTTAGTTTGAGTCAAAACGATCAACGAACCCTCAAACAAATTGACAGAGAAGCTTGAAGCTTCATTTCAATGCATTGGTTCGTGTTCTTGTCCATTTGGTTCTCCGTTATTATTAAAGCCTCACCCCTACCACCAGGGCCCCTCAATTGCGCAGCTAAGGCAAAAGCAATGACGATATCAGGACCACCCAAAAGAACAAGAAGAGAACCTCGTAGTGAAAATGATGGCAGTCATTATGACTGTATGGACTCCTCTTGTTTCAACTTTTGCATGAGATCTGCTGGGGTCAGTCCTCCTGAGCACCGCGAGGATTTAGCATCGACTCCTGCAATACCCCCAGCAAAGCATGCATGGATGCTGATTGGCCATAGCTGTCGACGCCAAGATACTACATGTCCACCGGGTGATGATCGTGCTAGCATTTCTGTTCAGCTTGCTTCCGGTATGGAGACGCTAGACTACGGATCACGAAGTCCAGTACAAGTTACAAAGTCCTGCTGTGAATAAGCCCTGGCCCTACATCATCCTGATCGTTCATCTACTCGGCCTTGTAAAGCGGCCCCGAGAGCGGAGAGCTCATGGCAGTGTCCTTCAGCGCTCTGATGCTTGCATCCAGCTCCACCTCGAAGTCGCGCTGCCATCGCTGGCCTTCGGCAGCGAACTGTACCGTCACCTCAAGCAAGACTGCTGCCCCAGCGTCACGAGGCGAGAGGGTTGAAGGGGGTAGCACTCAAGCCAGATCTTTCTTAATTTTCCCATCACCTGGGGCCAGGATAGACTGCGTCAGGACCAAGCACGCGGCGGTCGGGTACCCCCCAGACATTGAATATTCCAAAGCTACGCTTCTACACCTTCCCCAAGAACTTCACGATACGCGGTCTAGTCTCTGCGGTGGGCTGCTTGATACAAAGTAGTTGGCGGGTCAGGAAACTCAGCGAGCCACACTTACCTGCGAACTCGTATTCTGAGGGTCGGGCAGTCACCATGCCGCCCGCCGCAGATGCAAAAGGAAAAGATGCGGATGGAGGCAAAGTGCAGGAAAACTTGCTACACGGTGACTCAAGCCTGTGCTTTAGGTCTGCACAGGAAAAAGTATGGCCTCCAAAATGAAACATTGCCAGAATTGGATGAGCCTTATGGAGAGTCCTGATTAATTGACAAGGGACACTTACTTTTGCAAAAGCCGGCTACAATCTTACAGTATTGCTAGAAAAGCTAGTTGATCACAACAACCTAATGCATGTAGTTGCTGCAGATGCATGTCGTGGCATTCTGCCTGCTTCCTGGTTTCTGCAGTCTGTACTTCGGCATGCACAGCTGCAGGAGCGCAGTAGGAATTTGATCCAGCGCGATTGTAAACTTAACTCAAGGCTGGAGATGCGGACGCCTCTGCTGGAAGCCCGAACGAAGGTGGTAGCAATTATTCGATGTGCGGGGAGGTTTGGTATACGTGCTTGGACATGTCAAGCGCAGAATGCGCGCTTGCAACATGAAGTTCGCGAAGGGGTCTCTTATGGAAGCCCGAATGAAGGTGGTAGCAAATGTTGGATGTTGCGGGGAGGTTTGGTATGCATACTCGGACATGTCAAGTGCAGAATGCGCGAAGTTCGCGAAGGGGTCGTGCCTGCATCTACAGAGTCCGTAATCGCATCCCTGCATTGAACTCTTTCCTCGAATCGCCAACCAGAGTACCCATTCAACAGCTTTACGCCCAAGGAAATTAAACGTGAATGAAAGAGCTTGCGTCAAACCCATGCCCACAGTTCCTTGAGGTGACAAGCAACTGCTGAACTGCAACCCTCATTCCTCACTCGAGTCTCGCCCCCAACCGCAACCCAGTTCTCCAGATTTTGGCTCGCTATTCGCCGGTTCTCTGGACGGCCTCGCAGCAGTCAGCGAGAAAGGAGGGCTTTTGGGCTTGGAGTGTAGGAGTTGGCGGTGCCGGGTTGTGAGACCAGGAATTCAGGGTGTAGGGGTAGAAGCACAGAACTCGGGAAGAGGCTGAAGGCTTATATTCATTCACTCACTCTTGGGCTTCGAAGGCTTTGCAGGACTCGGGACCATAAGCCCTGAGCAATGGAAACAGCTTCCATCAAAAACTTGGCCCAAGCTTGTGCAGCAAGAACATCTGCCTGAGCGGCTCGCGCCCCACCTGTCCTCCAGGGCTTTTTGCTACCCGCTGGCTTGAAGGGTTTAAGGCTCAGGGGCTCAAACTTACGCTCCAGGGTTGAAAGATTCAAGGATTGATGCCGGAGATGACTTGGGGCCGTACTTCAGGACTTAGAGCTTCAAATTCTGCCGTCTGTGCTGTTACGCACGCAGCTTCGCAAATCCGAACCCAGAACTCGAAGCCTCTCAGCACTACGCCGACTACGCTCAGGCACCGCTTCAGAGTCCCTCTCTGCATGTCTACACGCACTGGGCAGAATCTTTAGGTAGTCCGCAATTGTATATCCCTCGGTCACAACTGTCTACTTGATCTGATAATTGGAAACCTTGCTGGCCTAGCCAAGGAACTATACACCTTGCTAGATTATTGCAAAAACTTTTGTCTTAAGCTATGATGCATATGTAGCCCTTGTCATAAGCCCATGCATAATCGCAAGGAGTCCCGATATGACCGCGATGGCGAAACCACTACCTGTTTGTAATCCTTGTCCTAAACCCTATATGCAACTGTCCAGGCTTCTGAAATTAGCCGCATATCAACCGCAAACAAATCATATCCACATTCCACTGCTTAACTAGGCCGGTAGGCCCTCGATGCTGAACCAAATCTCTAATCTTCTTTGACGTGAGAATTATCCAATACAATAATCTCCTACAACAAGGATCTCCAGTGCCGGGATCTCAATTCACGTCCTTTTTTGGGAACCTTCAAACCCTAATCCCTAAACCCTGTCCTACAAGTACCACTAACCTGCAATCGGAGGCTTCGAACATTCGTGTAGCCCGTACATATCTCCAGCTTCGACATCTCATGTTGGGGTAATACCACCTAAACCTATACAACCCCTATACATCCCTTCTCCCTATACAACCACCCTGTTGACCCCTCAACAAACCTAAAAGGACATGCCAAACCCCTTGCGTAATCTGCACTCCCTCCCCCCTCTCCTGGCGCGCTGCCGCAGGCGCTCGAGCCGCTGTAGCCGGCGCCGCGACTTCGAGACAATGCCTCCCCAAAACAGGGCGGCGTTGCTGCTAAGGAAGTTGAATTCAATTTGGGGTTTAGAGCCCAGGGGGGTTTTACGGTTTGGGGTTGAGGGGTTAGAGTTAGGGGCTGGGGCTTTGGGCTTTGGTTTTAATTTGGTTCTAGGGCTTAGGGATGAGCATTGATCTTAAGGAACTTCAATTAGATTAGCATATGTAGGTCAACTAGATTAATGGAGAGTCAAGTGCCAAATCAAATCAAATGAACAATAAAGGAAACTCAGGCGGCGATGTAGGGATGATAGGGCAGCTGTGATAGCATTTCAACCGCATAACTTACCAGCATGGAACGGCAAAGAAAATGTACACCATCATGTTATTGGGGATTATGTAGGTGCTACCGTTGGGATAGGCACTCAAATTAAGTTACGACAATGGAGAACCGAATGGGCAAGAAAATTGGAAATGAAATAGAAACCGGGTTCTAAAGGGATCTCACAGATAGGGATTAAAGAACATGACTTCAGCATATTACTTGTAACGTATGTAAAGTTTTTTAACAGCAACCTAGCAATAGGGCTTCATTTCGGATTGAGGCTTTGAAGGTATGAGTGCTTTCGGGTAAAAGGGTGAAGCCTGAGGGTTTTACAGACTAGGTCTGGAGCTTAAGGTGTGATGTTGGTTGAGGTAATGGGGAAGTAGTAGTGATGTAAGGGTGCGATATAGGGGGAGGGAGTATAGCAAGAATCCTCTAATATGGACAAGGTAATCGGCTTTTTGCGGTAGATTGGGGAATTGTAGGGGAGTATCGGATTAAACCCTCATGGGGAGGCGTATTATTTCCTAAAACGGGCAGGGGTGCTACTAACTTCATGTAGGGACTTTATACGGGCTATGTAGGGAGGATGTAGGAAACACATAATTATAAGGTAGAGCGGGATGTTACCACAATAACGGAGAATCCAATGGGGAATTTGAATTGAACGCTGAATGAGCGGGCTCTGCTCGACTCTGCCAGAATAAAATCGCAAAGAACATGGGAAATGGAATTGACACTAGTGTATTTATATGGCTTTTTGGCTTTTTGTTGAGTACATGGGCTTCAGGACAAACATAACCCAATTTTGTCTGGTACTTACACAGGGGTCCTCCAGGCAGAAGAGTATGAAGGTTATGTTTAGGGTGATGGCTATTATGACTATTATGACGATTACTACTGTTATAACTATTTTTACCATTATTACTACGATTACTATTACTACCGTTCTTACTATTATTACCATTATTGCTTGCTATTAGTACCATTATTACTATTCTTACTACTATGAGTATTGTTACCATTATTATTAATCTTCTTTTTATTGGGCTCGGGCCTCCGCCTCCGCCCAGCCGCAGGACTGGTGGCGGCATGGGCGCAGCCTCTTGGGGCGCCTCCGCCTTGCCACTTCAAAGTCATGGGAGTACTTGGAGGGTTTAGGGTTTAGGGTTTAATGGTTTTAGGGTTTAGGGTTTAGGGTTTAGGGTTTAGAGTTAGTAAGTGGGCTAATAATGGGGATAATTAGGGTTATTATATGGATTATAGGGGTATTAAGCCACTTACTAAGTCCCCTTGACCCTCCAAGTTGCTTTTTTGGTGGTTGAACCAAGTAAGGCTATATTTCTTATATAGAATACTATAACCCAAGAGGAGGATATAAGCTTACTCTATCTTAGGTACTATAGTACCCCCAAGTGTAACACTACCCATGGTCTTAATAGGGAATATGGGAGTAGATTAGAGAGGGTTTTTATACTACAGGGATTAGACTCCCTTCTTCAATACTAAGAACCTGTAAGCATACTTCCTTTGCACTCCCTTCTACCAAGCCCTGTATGGTTGCGGGGGGCTTTTGGACGGGGCTTGAATGGGCTTGAAGCCTTGGGTTTAACGCATCAGGGACTTGGCTTCAGGGCCAAGGGCCTGAAGTTTGCAGTTCGGAGGGTAGATGCATCAAGATTCTGTGGAGACACTCAAGGACAATGTGTGAATTTGGTATTCAGCGGCGATGATCAATGGAAATGGTAACAACGATAGTTATGAGGAGCTGATCGTATAGACGGCGCATGTTGAACACAGAAATAGCCACCAGGGTCAGTGTTGCCAAGCACCCCACCGCTGCATGAGGCCCTGGATGACAAGACAACCCTGATACATATTGAGGTATCTTCTTCGTTCATCTGCTGTGAGCTTTGAGCCCTCATCCACTATCATGGACGAAAGTCGCAAGAAGGTGGTGGGCGGCTGAGAAAGCAGATTTCCGCCTCGCCGGCGGAGTTGTACCAGCGGCCGGCAGTTGGTACAAATCCTTGTCGAAAAATGGATGTAAATAAGCAGAAGTCTTCAGTGCTTGGGGAGGAAGGGTACAGGCTTCAAAATGCACAAACGTAGTCTCGCGGTAACCATGTATGCGACAGTGACATCCTGCATAAAAACAATGCAAACACCACCGTGCTGGCTAACGATCCTACGTACAAGAAGCAATTTTTCAAGACAATGCCACTGAAAGAGCTCCCATTTCACTCCACAAGGGCCCAGCAGATTCTAAGCTAGAGCCTGTGAACGCTGGTACTGTTAAGCTACCACCTTTGATTTTGGTCGAACAGCTACCATAGAGCTGCTGTTCCGATCAAAGCCTTCCGAGATGCGTGAGGCGCATCACTGATTAAGTGCATTCCGAACATAGAGATCACCCCGGCTGATGGTCAGGAGGACAGCTATGCTACAAGATGCTACAAGCTATTACTACCACAACAGTCCCTTGGCTGCCGCCGAGGGACGTTGCTTGCCGAAATGCAGGGGCAATGAAGGCCCGTCTGGGTCCGCCGCGCTGTGTAGCTCCACATGCAGATGCCTCGGCCCAAATGTGAGGATTCCCTATGTCAGAAAGTGACTCAATACAAACATGACAACTGTTGTCATGGCTGGTTGACAAGACCCAGGAAGACACAGTTCCAAAGAAGTGAATAGCGGTCTGTGCTCAGGCTGCAGGCTCTGCTAACGGCTAACGTGCTTCTCTTCTTGTTTTCGCGTCTTCATCCCAGCGCTTGGAACCAGCCACAGCGGCTATGGACAACACAAAGCTGCATGCTCCGTGAACCAACCAAGAACTACATACGACTTTGAAAGCTAAACTCGAAAGCCCAGTGGCGGCTCAGGCGCGAAGCCAATGTCGCCAGATTCACAGAGCACCTGTCCTCGCCGGACCTCCTCGCCAACCTGCCAAGGCACAGTGTACAGGGTTTAGGACTTTGAGGTTTTAGCGTTTAAGGTTTTTGTGTTTCATGTTTTTAGGGCTTTAGGGTTTAAACTTTTAGGTTTTTAGGATTGGGGGTGTAGGGTTGTAGGGTTTAGGGTTTCTCTGCTTTGGGTTTTAAGTTTTAAGGCCAAGGGCTGCAGGGTTAACACGCAGCTACCTTTAGAGACGCTAGGCAGGTATGCGGAGTATCAGGAGATTACGTACGTCCGCTGCAGGAGTCCACGTGTAGCCATTTTTTTCGAAAAGCTCCCGTGTACAGACAAAGTCTTCTTCATTAGTTAGGGAATGCTACGGCTCAGCGTGTCTTTGTGTCAAATTCGGATCTCCTTTTCATTTTGCACCTCACGATGCTAGCATGACATACGATAGTTGATACCTTACAAAACCTAACAAGCCATATACGGCTGGAGTGTGTGATGGCTGTGAGAATCAAAATCCCCATATCCCACACTTTAAGGGCCACATATGAGCCATAGTCTAAACTCCTAGTATCCCCCTTAACAAGCCCAATAATATTCCCCGAGATACTTGCCTATATAACCCCCCTTTAAAGAGTTTAGACTATAGCTCATATGGTTTGCTAAGAGCTGAGGGGGTGGGGCTCCAGGGCAAGCAAAATTTGGAATCATCATGTTACATGGATATGTCAAGATTCCAGGAGGGCATGCAAACATTGTGCAGGTTTAATGCGTTTGCGACAAGGAGGCTCAATACGCACCTCTGTAACAGGGAGGATCCTTAATGCAAGGTTGCGGCACATTCAAAATGGCGCGGGGTTTCGCGGTCCAAGGTTTGAGGGAGCTTCCCTTGATGAGGGCTGATGTGCCTGCAGGTCCTGATCTTGAATTCTTACAGCTCAGTGTATTCAAGTCAGAGATCAGCTGGATGACAGGTTTCAGGGCCATGCCAGAACCAGCTGCTTGCTTGGGATCCCAAGTGTGCAATCTACCGAGTCATGCCGTATTCTCTTACCCAGTTCCCCGCCGTCAAATTGAGGACTGCTTACTGGACAGCTTGCAGCTTCGTATCTAACATCTGAACCCTGGACTGCATTGATTTGTCAGGCGGGCTTAGCACCCTCACTGTGGCATTTTACGCTAGACCGGTGCTCATACCGTAGTTCACAAGCCTTGTATCAGTGTGCAGGGAATGCTAGGCAGGAACACATATAAAGCGTGTTCCGCAATCTAGGCCTAAAGACCTCAGATCAAGGCGCTCCTCCTGGTCGAAGCTACGAAAAAAGCAAGCTCAACTAAGTCTTGCATCTGCAGACCAGTGCTTGCTGAAACTCACCTAGATCCTAAACCCTAAACCCTAAACCCTAAATCCATTATAGTAGTTTCCACCTTATTTTCCATTATCCCTATTTAACCCCAATCACCCTGCATCCTGCACGCAAGCCCCTAAGCCAGAAAGCTTCGCTTTTTGGGATCCTGAACTTCCCATAGCGCGCCTCAACGCGGGCCGTTTCGGCCAGCGTGTGGAGATACTCCACAATGATGCCGGACTCTAAGATAACCTTGGCAGAACTACCAATTTACTTACTTCTGCGACAGCCCCCAGATTGAGACAAAGATCGTTTATCTCCTCCCTAGATATACGTTCCCCCTTAAGTAGATAGAATATGGGGGTATATGGAGATCTTATCATGATTTTCGTGAAGCCCATATTCTATCTACTTAAGGGGACTATAAGCTCTTAGACAAGCGGCAGGGGCTCTCCCACTCTCTGAGCTGGACTCGTGTACACGGTCACAGCTCGAGAACACTCTAGGGCTCCGAGGAGGCATCCAAGATCATTAAACTACTATCCTATACTCTCTTTATGATATATTCCCTTATCATCTACTAGAATCCCAGTATATAACCTTACATAGTTTCCATGCTCTTGTCCATTATCCCTATTAACCGCACCATACCATAATAGGGTTATAGAGGGATAATGGAAAAGAGAATGGAAACTACTGTAGTATATTCGGGTACCACCAGCACATTCTTACTGTGATTACTGCATGCTTGTTTCTAGGCGCTTGCCAGCAAGGACTTCCTAGGGAATATGAAAGGTTTACATCAGAATTAAATGGGGATCATATGTGGATACTCAATAAGAAGACAGGAAAGAAGAAGTAATGCTATGTAGGGGTTATATAGAGGCTATATAGGGATAATGGAAAAGAAAATGGAAACTACGATTTAGGATTTGGTGTCGGAAGTTGCTTAGGTGCCTCTGCCCATACTTGCACACACAATGGTGGAATTCTCAAAGCCTTGGCCCACCCACTCAGCCAAACGCACGTAGAACACTTTGGCACGCTCATAATATGAACAATAATGGTAATGACCTGAAACACCAAGCCTTGAACCCCGGGCAATATCACTCCAATCCCTTAACCTTAAACCCTGGGCAATATGCCTCTGATCCCTAATTTGCAAATCCTAAACCGTCAATATGGTGGTTTCCTAAAATTAAGGTTCCCTTTTTTGGGGGGGGTCCGTACAATAAGGATTATAGTATTCTGGGGTCCATAGTGAGCTCCCCCTAATTAGATTTAGGGGAACTACCATGTGAACCATGGTCTAGACTCCAAGTGTCCCCCTTAATAACCCTATAATACTCCCCTATATAATCCCCGACATAGCCCCCGGTTAAGGAGTTTAGACTATAGCTCATATGGTAGTTTCCCTAAATTACTGTTCCCAAAATGGGGGAAATTTATATAGGGCCCTGTATTACAATGGGAACCCACCGTATTATAGGGAATTTAGACCAATACAGTATGAACACAACCATCTTCGTGCCGCAGGCAGGCCGAGATGGAATTCCACTTTGCCAGGTTGGCGGCGTGGATGCCGCCACACCTGGGCGGGTGGCCGGGCTGGGGGCGAGGGGTTCTGGTAGGGTTTAGGATTTAAGGCTTAGGGTTTAGGGCTTCAGGGTTAGGGATATTACCCCAATCCTGGAGAATCAAATGGAAAAGACAAAGTGGTCTGTAGGGCTTACGGGTCTCAAAATCACCTGAAAGGCCCACGAAATAGCAGGAGACTGGACGTTATCAAGCTGCACTTTTCTCGTAACTAGCGGGCAATCCTAAGGAGAGATGTTTTCAGATTGAATCACTTCCACGTACATTCAGCAAGCATCAGGATGTGGGCAACTTCTCCGCCCCGCGTCAGAACCTGCTTTAAGATGCACCCATGCACTGCGCGTGATGAACATACATGAAGCTGCCTTCTGTTGCTAGGGAAACACTGACTCCTCGAACGAGCCTGACCCCTTGTCAAGGCACTTATGCGTCTGCGCGATGTCCTTGACTATGCCATCGCCAATGCTTAGCACAGGCGTGTGCGTGGCACACCGAAGGTCAACAGCATGGTAACTCTCCTCGGCCACGAACAAGTGTAGGAGGCGACACGGCGAGGATCCAGTATAACACAGGAGGAAGTCTCAGATTAATGCTTGTTCTGAAGCAACCTGCTGTCTGGCCGGCCCATGAAACATAACAATACAGCTATGAAACTCCTCTGGCTGCTCTAGCGCAATCTGCAATGAGGTGCAGGACCGTGTTCCCGGGAGGCTTGACACAGGCTATTCATGGTCTCTGAACATGTCAGCTGCTTACTCACACCAACAATCTTAAAGAGAAAACCCTGACTGCCAGATGGTGACTGACTGCCTGATGGCAAAAATGCCTGTGTAAACTGCAGGCAAGGCGCTGGAAAAAAGTGCGTCAGGTGTCCTGATTCCACGAACCGGGGGAAGGACCAGAAGGTTGTGGCTCTTAGCAGGCCTCTGACGTCGCATCCAAATGTTTGATCTGGGCATTGAGCGAAATGCTTTAACCAGCAGGAGAAGAGAACAAGCTACATTTCAACAACGAAACCCAAGTCTTTAAGATCGCAGGTCCTCCGATGCCCTGGGTACAAAGGTACGGTCCAGACACATCGGGGAGTGGAAAAGCATAGCCCTCCGGGTCCTGCAGGCACTAACAAGTTAGCCATTGGGATTAGAGGGCTTCATGAAGAGGTTCTAGGTAATACTTCCAGGCATGCGCAAGGTTTAGGTTTAGCGTGACAGGTGTTGGGTTAGAGTTCTGCATGCGGCCAACAACGACTGATCTTGGTTTCAGAAGGTCTGATGGCTAGCTCAAGTTGGCTTGACAGACGGTAACCCTTGATCAGTTTACACTTAATCGTGCATTTGCACTGACTCGCTTTAACCCCTCTACGATACTCGAAATGCTTTCACAGAATGCTTTGGGAAAGACTTCAGAGCCTTTGCTCATATCAGATGCCATATCTAAATTCTGTTAAACCGAAGCAGTCTATGCATGCAAGAAGTACAACAGCAACAGCCATGAACACAATCACAAACAATGGAAACAGCAGAGAAAATGACAAAACCATCACAACGCAGACCTCCTTGATGTGGAGGGCGGCCGGCACAGAGGGGGCCTGCGTCACTTTTTGATCCAAAATGAAGATGTTGCTCATGGGTTTACGGTTTAGGGTTTGGGGTTTAGGATACTAATTTCAATGACAGAACCACTACTATTGCCATGGATAACCCATGATTCTTGCTACTGCTATCACTGCGGTCATTAGTAAAGCAATTCTCCATATAATTGCTTGTGTTACTAGATTTTTTGAAGTACCGGTGCAAGTATCAGTGTTAAGAAAGCGCATGAGGCACATGTTCATTGCCGGAGATTCGTTGGGGAGAGCACTGGAGTTTGTAGGAAGTACAGCGCCACTTTGGCCACCTCGCTTCAATCAGTCTGGACACTGGCAACGTTCAAACCCTGGGTTATTATCGCCCGCGCAATCTACATCCTGAAGTTTCAGCCAGGCTGTGGCATCAGGCAAGGAGCCATGAGAATGTGAACTTGGACCCATTGAACCCCAGACGAATCCCTTCTATAGGCACCTTGAACTTTCAAAAGGAGCTTATCATAGCGGCAACGATATAGAGACCCTCATTTTTAAAACACAGAACTCGCCACCATCAACGCGACCTCTAACCCTAAACTCGCGCCTGGGAACTCTTGGGTTTAGGGGTTTAGGGTTTAGGGTTTAACGCCTAAGCCGTGGAGCATGCTGGTCTCTGTCCATGCAAAGCCCCCGGCGCTGCTTACAGGAAAGAATGCAACAGAATGTTTACTGGGTCCTCTGAACTCAAGCTACGCACAGCCCCTACAAACAATCCTATAAGGATGATTGAAACCCTCCACCCCAAAACGTAAAATGCGAGACTATTCCATACGCCTGTAGCTGCTCCAGTTCAATGGCAAAGAAGCCCGTGGACGGTAGTGCCGCTGCCTCTGGTGACCAGGTTCGTGGGTCCATGGTACTTAGGGTTGTAGGGTTAGGGGGTTTGGGATTTAGGGGTCAGGCTTAGGAATGACGTTTCGGGTTTAGAGTTTCAGGGTTTGGGGGTTTGGGCTGGGCCAGGAGCTGGTCGTACATACCGGAGTCAGCGCAACAAGATCATCAAAACAAACCAATATTTCTGAGACACGCCCAACTGCTTGGGGTTTAGGGACTTGGGGCTTTAGGGTTTAGGGTTTAAGGATTAGGGATTAGGGTTTAGGGTTTAGGGATTTAGGGATTTAGGTAGCAGAAAGCTGCAACCCTTGAGCCTTGATAACTCCCTTGAAGTGAAGCGCACAGATCTCTTCTGCTCGGGTAGGTTTGGGGGCCCTAAGAAAATCAATTTCTATGGCTTCATGAGGATTACACAGGAGTTCAGGGCAACAAGCAATAAAAATCATGTGGGTGGCTGTCAAAATTGTGGTGCCTTTTTGGATCCCTATTATAATACGGCACCGAAATATTTAGGGTACCCAAAAAGGGACCATAATTTTGACAACCACACATGCTCAAACCTACCCCTGTCTGGGGGCGATTTTCCGGGGGCGAGGCCTCGATCTTTCCGAGGCGCACGGCAGTCATGGGGTCGGCCACGACGACGAAAGTTCTCGGCAAAAGCCACTGTTGGTTAAGGATTTGAGGTGTAGAGGTTTAGGGTTTAGGGGATTAGGGTTGTCTTTTTAACCCTGGCGACTATTACGTCTGTGCGAAGCGCACAGGGCACAGCAATACTTGTTCAGTTGCCAGTTTGCTGGGGTTTAGGGTTTATTCAGGGTTTAGGGTGTAGGTCCCAGGGCTTAGGGCTCAAGCGGTGGCCTGCAAATCATGAAGCTACTATAGCAGTTTCCATTTTCCATTATCCCTATATAACCCCAATATAGTATATTGCCGTTATATAGAAAACAGACACTGCTATTGTATCTTCCGGGTATATATATGGATAATACAGTGAAGCTCATCCATTGAAGAAAACAACTGAGATCCAAGCATGGCCATCTCCTCCACCCCTTCGTCCGACCTGGTGAAGCCTGTCCAGCCATGTCATGCATGATGCTAAAGCATTGGCCGCCCACAGAAGCCTCAGCGATAAGTCGGGACCGCCATACAAGGTTGTTATAGCCCGAAATCCCATATGAACCATAGTCTAAACTCCTAGTATCCCCCTTAATAACCACTATAGCACTCCCCTAGATAATTCCCCATATAACCCCCTCGAAGTACTTTAGACTAGCTCATATATCGCTACATCCTAAGCCCAATAACCTGGCATCACCAGGCCTAGTTCAAAAGGCTGGCCGTTCCGGTCACGGACATGGGTGCCCAAGAATGTAAGATACCTCGTGTGTGAGAGTTTTGATGGGACCTTTTCTCCAAGGTATGTCTGTGGGGGTTTGGGGTTTAGGGTTTATGGTGGGAAGGATTGTAAGGTATGATAGGGACTACTACAGGATTTTCATGTAGAACGTAAGATGCCTTGGTTGCTCTGTACTCCCCACTAGAACTTCGACCTTTAGCTTCCTAAAAATGGAATAGAGGAACCCCAAGAGTTATGAAGTGCTGAAGTTGGGCAAAGTCGTACCTAGATAGCTCGCGTGATTTAGGGTCTGAAGGATTTTAGGTTCTTATATGGACTAGTAGGAAGCATTTTGATGTAGGAACAAACGGGTGTATATGGAAAAGGGAACGAATGTTGGTTGTCAATTTCCGTATTCCAGGCCAAAACAAGACACTGTGTGGCTTAGGGCACCCTAAACCCTGAACCTTTTAGGATTCATGGCTGGCTTGAGCCAGCTTGGGATACAGCATGACATCCCCCAGTCAGCAACCAAGCAAGGAGTAATGCCCCTAAACCCTAAACCCTCCCATGACCCTAGTAGCCCTAGTACAGAACTCCCAAACAAGGAAGCTTGAGATACTGCCCGGGCGCTTGCACAGGGATTCTTCGGGTGAACACTCAATCCAAAATTGAAGTGGCAGGCCATTCGACTTCAGCCGGGGAACCTCCCTTCTGGACTTGAGGCTTCCTCACTCAACCCATCATTGTACACGAGCCTACCAAGCAACCCCTCCAAAGGGGCCTTCGGTGCTATGAAGCCCATTGGAGCGCAGACTTGCTACTTTTCACAAGGATGTGCATAAAGCGTAAATACTCGGACCCGGTCTTTGCCAGTCGTCTACACATAGGGCAGGTTCCTAAACACAGTGAATTGCGACTATGACCTGAGCTTCGTGCCCATAACTTGGGGAGGACTGGCTCAGCATAGGGTAACCCAAGCGCCACAATACATGATACCTGTGGCTCAGGAGCCATTAGAGGAGCAGAGGGCAAAAAAACCATGCAGTTTGGCAGACACTAAATGCAGACTTAGCGGCGTGAAGCACGGATATCGTCTGGCATTAACCACTGTGAAGACCTGCAAGGATGCGAGGTAAGGACACGAGGGGATCTGGAGACATGGTCGTTGTCTGAAATCAGGCCTCTGGTAGCCGAAAGAGGATACCGAACGTCCATATCTCACAGTACAAAAAAAAAGCGAACTTTTCAAAAACGGTTCTTTGTAGGAGGACTCATTCATCCCTGAGTCTAGAATTTTCGACATCAAGGACACAGCAGTTTTTGCGGATGGGCTTAGCCGGGATGTGGCATCCTGCTTTACCAAAAACACCTTGTCCAATGGGGCGTTCAGAAAGCGTGAAGCCCAAACCATTGTAGCCTGGATCCCTTCCAGCACATGCTAGGCTGTGAGATAGATTCTCAACTGACAGTCTTCTCGTATGTCCAAAGGACACGCCAACCTGAATCCCCTTGGCTTGGGAGCTAGAGGTTGAGGGGCCTGAAGAACAAACTGCAATGGGACCAACCCACGGAGTTCCAGTCGCGGCCTCCAAGCATGTATAGGATGGTACCAGAGCAAGGTATACCAGGAACGATCAGCACACAAAGGCATGGGGCGATCTCGTCAAGGTCCTTCGATGACCAACACCAGCTACATCATTTCTCCTTATACAACCCGATTTCGAAGGTTTCTGAAAGTTAGGATTCCTGAGCAACATGGTCTGCTTCACGAGAAACCCACAAGTCTGAGGATCTGCTATCTGCACAATTTGTCGGATATCTAGCTCGTAGATGAGGGGTACAGAAGTGACCCTATGACAACATGCCTTGCTTTTCGGGTCCCACTGGAAAGCATCATCAGCACTGCCAGACTCCTGTCAGCATGCTTCAGGGTTGTTCACATTGTGTCCAAAGCTTGAGGCTAGGCCCCTTTGGGGGCTCTGGATTGGGGGTGGTGTGTCTGTGTAGGGGTGCCAAAAATCGCTGCATTGGGGCCCCCCATTTTGAAAGTAAAGGTTGGATTTGGGGAGCAGAGCAAGTCCTCGAGGGTTCTTAATTTTCTGCCCTTCAATGTGTGTTACAGCTGGCCCACGCACACCATTAGGTCCTCCGGCACAGGGAAGATACCAACGATTGCTGGATGGGATCGATGGACCTCCATACCATGCATGGGTGAGAGTCCACAAATGAAGCGGTCTGTTCAAGCAAATTGAGGCTTAAGGTTGGGTTCGGAGTTACGGATTTAGGCCAGGCCCCGCTACAATCAGTAGGATGACGCGTGAGCTTTGCTATATACCCCTCTATAACCCTTAGACCTCTATATAATCTCTATATATGTGCGTATAGATAAATACATATATCTATATATATATATAGATATATGTATCTACTATTCTTGCTGCTATTGCTGCTATCATTATTACTCGTATTATTACTACTGGCTTTTCTATTAGTACTACTACCACGACTACTATACTACTACCACTACTACTGCTACTACTACTACTACTACTACTACAACTACTACTACTACTACTACGACGACGACTACTGCTACTACTACTGCTACGACGACGACGACGACGACGACGACGACGACTACTACTACTACATTCTTGCTTCACTTTTTGCTCCCAGGACCTCCATGGGCGTGACCCTCTTGGCCCAAGAAATTCCTTGAGAGTAAAGGATGCCATGCTGCACACACCAATCCAGAAACTAAATCCCAAATCTTCAGCCTTGAACCCAGCACCTCTCAGATCCTGACGCCACAAGTCGCTCAACCCCTGACTTTTTACCCGCAAGCCTAGATGAGAAGTGGAATGTCCACAAAATCCACTTCTTTGGTTTGCTGAGCCTAAGGCTAAAGAAATCGAACTCAACAACAATGAAACAGAAGCCTCCAAAACCCTGACAACATCACAGGCAATCTTCAAAACCCGAAGCCCCTGAGATGCCCGACGATGACGCAGCCGCGGCAGGCACTGGGCAGGTAGTTCCCAGGCCACTCGGACTCCATCATCTACGTGAAAACTTGAGGGACTTGGCATGCACACTTTAGGGTCATATAATATAGTGGATATATAGGGGTTACATAGGGGATAACGGAAAAGATAACTAGTGCTAATACGCCGAAGAACCCTCCAATTACTAACTTCCTTCTAGGAGCTAGGTGTCAATAGCTTTTCAAGTCTTGAAGATTGGGAGTCTTAGTCCAGACTACTACTCTTACAATTATTACTGCTATCATTACTACTAATAGTAATAGATATTACTTTTGGTATTACTATTACTACTACTGTCTGGTTTTTGCTTCGAATCCAGAATCAGGAATTCGAGAAATTGAGCGCTTCATGCCAGTCAAGCCGGCATCTGTCATTCCAGGCTTACGGATGTTCGGCCTAGCCTCCTGTTTGGCCTTCTTGGGCCGGGACTGCAATTCACACAGCTGCATGCGAGGGACTGAAGGTGGCTTCCAAATCGAAATACTAGCAAATCTACAACCCAAATACTAGCAAATCTACAACCCTCCACCCCCTCTTGACATAGCCGAAGCTCCGATTTGGGGAAGAGGTAATCGCTGTTCAGTATTCGTCCCTCCAGTTTGCAGAGATTCGATGGACAGCGCCATAGACTTCCACGTTGAGGGTTCAAGGGTTTACAACTCAAGTGGGGCTGCACCTTTCACAGCTTGCAGGTAGCTTCTTTTCTTCACAGGGCCAGGCCCAGAGAATTCTAGGTGATGTCAATCAAATCCTTTCGACGTCTTTGGAGCGAATCTAAAGGCGAGCAGTCTTTTAAAGGTGGTAGAAGCAAGTGGAGGAGGAATTTACATGGTGACTAGGAGTTTGGGAGCACAAAACCTTAAAACCAACAAACAACCTTGCTCCCTCTTGGGGACGCCTTCATCCCCTGTTAAAAGCCGCTCCTCAGGTGAAGATGTGAGACTGAGCAGTGCCAGATTAAACAGGGTATGTGTCACCTGGGTAACGCAGGGGCCAACAAGCCATCACCACACTGTATAGCGTGCACAGAGTGGGGAAAACCAATGTAGCCGCCTGCACTAGCATGGGAACCCAAATGTAGGGACCGCCTGAATTCTGATTCGGGGTTCCGTAAGCCCTGAACCCTTAACCCTCAACAATGATAAAGCGTCATGATCTAGGTCTATAGGGGTGCAAGTTTTGAGGGCTATGAACCAGCATCCTCAAATCCTTGGCACCACAAGCTTCTTTATGCAAAAAAACTCATATCGTGTTACCATACATATACGTAGCAGCATATATGTATGTGCATATGTGTGTGTATGTGGTTTAAGACTAGGGCTTGGAGCCACAACCGCTGACAGTTCTCAGAGATGTGGACCCTGCTAAAATAGGAAACATACTGTTTTAATGGCGACTTCTACTGTCGTTACGTATAAATTACAATCTGAACCAGCCCCTGTGTTGGACACAGACCCAATTACAAAAGCTAGGACAGGCAAGAGAAAACATATTCAGGAAGCAGAGAAAACATGCCCACACGATAAATTATAAATCAAAAACGGCTAGTAGCGATTCAGAAGCACAAGCCTAGTAAGCAACACTTACGGAGCGCATGGCATCATGCACTTCTTGGGCAGCTTCTTGTGGACGGCTGCCTGAAATCACTAGGCTATCTTAGGTCTTGGTAGGCGAATGGGTTCTGGGAAAATTTGGGCCTTGAAAGGAAATTCAAGGTATGCGATAAGCATGAAGCCGCCCAAAAGCCAATCAAACGGCGCATACATGTTTCCTTTTTAAGCTCTTTTGACATTATTGAAACGGATCTGCTAGGGTGAGATGAGGTTCCTGCACTAGCACTGAGGAATGGTAGGGAGTATGAGGTTCAAGCAAGTCAACACAATTGCCGTTGAGAAGTCCACTTGCTCTGCAGCCCAGCATGTTCCAGATGGAATCCTCTAGAAACGCCGAAGACTTCCATAAAAGCACAATCAAAATTGTTGAGGTCCATGAATCCCCAAACAGTCTACTACACACTAAACCGCTGCAGTCAATCAAGCCCTGTGAGCAAGTGAAGTATAGACATCTATTTGGACTCCGATACATCCCATGACCAGTTCAGGATGCCATCAATTTGGGACGAACGAACCCGAACAACTCCTCCTCTCCTCTCCCTCTCCATCTTGCCAAAGCCCCCGTGACCTCTTCTCCAGCCTTTCCACCCTGTCCGCCCCTTCAAGTCAGAACTGCAGACGCGATAAATGTCTGCGTGCGCCAGTTCGTGCCCTGACCTCCAACCCTTGAGAGAACCACCCCGAGCTGCGCCACTGTGAAAACGCAGACGCCATCACAGAAAACACTCGGAAATGTATCAAGACCACTAGCTAGGTGTCAGTACTGAAGGTCCTTTAAGAGCCTCGTCAGAAGAGAGGGGAAGAGAGGGAAATTGCATGCCCAAGTACGTCCTAAACTCCAAGCCTAAGCCCTAGCAGAAAGCCTTGCTGGGAGGCACTACAATGCGCACCTGGAAGTCTCTGAAGGGGGACTTCGCAGTGAGCCCAGGATACCTTACACACATTTTGCGCGAGACCAGGATTTAGGGACAGGGCTTGGGGCTCAAGACTTAGGCTTCAAACAGAAACAGAAGATTCCTTAGAAAGAACGGTGGGGAGTACATTTGGGATGTCTTTCTGCGGCTAGCGCAAGCATATGTCTGCTCCTAGATGTCCCTAAACCCTGAACCCCTAAACCCTTAAACCCTAAGCCCTGAAACCCTCAAACCCCTAAACCCCCTACACCCCCAAACCCCTAGACCCGTAAACCCCCTAAACCCCCTAAACCCCCAAAAGCCCCCAAACCCTAAACGGACCCTTAAGGATCCTAGGAGCTATCATGAGGACCATTAGAATTATATGGGGGTTTCCCAAAATTAGGGGTACCTTTTGGAGGGTCCCCATAATAAGGACTATAATATTTTGGGTCCATATTCGGGTCCCCCTAGGGATGTATGGAGCCAGGTTTGTTTTTCCCTGTTTTTTTGGTTTTTTTTGCCCTATT